CCAGGCTACGGGCAAGGGGAAGACGAGTGGGGGAAGGGATGGGCAATGTGATATTTCACTAAATGAACAACCGCCACTTGACTTAAAGTTCTCAGTTGTGTCCTGGGTAATTTAATTGTGTTTCAAGTGTAGAAATTAGCGTTATATCCGCATTTGAGAACAAGCCAAACTGCATGACTTCGCGTTGCCTTTAGAACGGTATCGGATCACATGATTCCTTAGCTTTTTTGTGCCCCGCGTCCCGTGATTAGAAACTTTCTATATGATTCCGAATGGAGATTTGGGCCTGAGGAGAGGGTTTCCATCACCAGGGCTGGCCAGACCTTTATGATGTCACCTGAATGACACATCTGTGTTCCTTTAGTTGGGTTGGCATCTATGGGAGAGAAAATCCCTCTTTGGGCAGAAAAGCCTGAGCAATTATATTGTGCCCTTTTCTTTACCGCTAATTGTTTTGCCTTACTGTTTAATTATGTCTGTTCTCTCAGGCCGAATATTCTTCGTTTTGATCACATGGCGGCCTCCCTCAGAACATTCTGTTCCTTCTTCCAGCTCTCTGCCGGTTACAAGAACGCCCCACGTCTCCTTCAAACAGCCATTGTTTGCCGAAATGAAGAAACCAACTACAGGGTATTTCAAGGACATAAAGACACAATCAGGGAAAAACCTAAAGCAGTTCTTTCATTAAAATCAAGGAAATGAAAAGCGTTCCCTTTGCAACGTTACGGGAAGTTACTCATATCTATTGACGCGATGATCTAATATTTATATTAACGATTCCTCTACTCTCATAGGGTCTAGTTATGACGTTTCAAAAGAGGCATAAAACCTTTTCCTCTCTTGCCTCTGACCTGGAATGTTAGTAAAACCAGGGTCTTATTTTTATGTGTTCACACAAGATGTGGTCACAGAGATAAAAGGACAGAAACTGGGAGCGACTGATTTTATAGATTCGCAGTCAAGAGACGGGGTCTAGGTTTTGCTAGAATTACAGGGTAACAGTCACTGGTAGAAGCACAGGCACGTTCTTTCTACCTTATGGGCCCAAAGGCGGCTTTGAAGTGAAGCTTTTGAAACGTATATTCTGGCTTTTCACTTTTATGGGCTCTTTCTAAGGCTCTGAGTCGAATTTTGTATTTGCAATTTTGATTCCTTAAAACGCACGTGCGTGCACGCACGCACACACACACACACACACGCACACACACACACCCCGTCCCTAATACACGTGAGCCACATATGTAATTTTAAATTTTCTGGCAATTGTATTAAACAAATAAAAAGACACAGGTGACGTTAATTGTAGTATTCGACTTTATTTAATCCCATATATCCAAAAGTCTTATTTAGGCATGCAACCAATATAAAGAAATTAATGAGCCATTTTACTTTTTTTTGTAGTAAGGATTCAAAATCTGACGTGTATTTTACACCTGGGCGTATCTCAGTTTAGTTTATCCATATTTCAATTGCTTGAAGACCACGTCTGGCCAGTAGCTGGTCTATTGAGCTATGAGGTTCTAGACCCTCCTCTTTCAAACAGGGTGACCTTGAACATGTAACTAACTGTTCTGAGTCTGCTCGCTTCTTGTAAAATAGAGGTATACATGTGTATATATACCTGCATCGTAGGACAAAATGTGAGGTTAAGTAGTTTAATGAGAATAGCATCTCGTAGGTGCTTGGCAAACAGTCGTTACCATCATCTTGGGAAATGGGTCATTTGACTAGGCACTTTGTCTCTTTTACTTTGAATTTTACTCGATGGACGTAAGCAAAGCTTAACATGAACATTTCCCCACTGTTGTAAACAATGTCTGGTCAGTCGTGTAACCAAAAGGTTAACACATAGGGTTAGAAAATCATCTCAGTGATGACTGATGGCTGGTCCACTTACGAGGTTAGGCTCTCGAGGGTTTACACATTCACCATCAAGAGGAAGATGTATGGGCCCAGGTGACGGTCTGATATAAGAAGCTCATTAGAACAGGGTTGCTGAGAAGCCCAAAACAGAACAGCTTGGGAAATAGCGTTAAGAGTACGATTTACTGATCTTCAACTACAGGCCAAATGCCAAAGTACTTTTCACGTGTCTATTCACTTAACAAGGGCACAGAAACAAACGCACAAAACTCTGAAAAGCAGATCCTCTCATCTTCATTTTATAAAGAAACAGAGGCTCAGAGCAGCTGACCCATTTGCCAAAGCTGATGCAGCTGTTAGGTGACTCTTCTCATTACCTTATGCCACCCTCGAATTCTCACTCAGCACACAGAGGTGACGTGGGCCGGGATGACAGGCTTGGTACTGGCCCTGTGCAGAGAAGCATGAAGTCATTGTTTTAAAGTGAAAGCACTTTCTCTATCCGTGAATTGAGTGTAAAAGTTAAACCACAGATCACAGAAAAGGGGATCATTTTCCATTCTCCCTAAACGCTTGCATTAATGACTTATTTCTCTGCGATGTTCAGAAAACAGGCACAAACTAGTTCTTTCATGAGATAAAGCAAGACAACCAGATTGAGCCATAACTACTTTTTTATTAGTTCCATTTATTAAGACTTTGGCAACTCACTTGCGAAGTCTGGTCTTGCAGGGAACAGCCAAGGAAATTTGTGGAAATAGGATTTTTTTTTTTTTTTTTTCGGGGCAATGAGATGGGGGAAATGGAGGGAGAAGTAGCCGCTCCCAGAGACCATCCCCGAAGAGCACGTGGCTCTTGTTATATCTGGCTGGCCCAGCGATCATCCAAGTTATGGGGCTATAGGGGATGCTGTCTAGACCAGTTCTTTTGGCCCTGGGGTTGGCAGAACATAGAACCAGAAAGCCAAAGCATGGTCCAAACATCTCTCTGCATTTTTTTCTGGTAGACAGTCAAGCTGGATGGAAACTAAATCTCAAACAATTACCAAATAGCAATAAACAAGAGAAGAAAAAGACTGCACAAGACTCTCTTCGGGTCTTGATAGATACATCCTGGCTTTTGAGCTGTAAAGCATGACATTTCTGTAGCGAGTCTCCTTGAGGGGAAAAAAAAGCACAATCTTAAAGAAAGTGTGACTTTTCCAGCTTGATATCACTGTCACCGCATCATAGATATTCTCTGGCTTCGAGGATGATGCCACGACAGGAAAAACACATCGACACAGAATTGAAATAATTTATTTACCACTAGAGCACCACAAAACAGACAAACGTGTTAAAATACAGCGTAATCGGTCATCAAAATACAGAACAGCTAGTCTTATATTCCATTTTTTTAAACCATGCCAACCATAAAATGGTACTGCTCCTTAACACATAAAAACTGCTGACCCCCCCCACCCCACATACTAACATTTCCCCCATTCCCCATTTCCTCCCCCTTCCCTCCCCTCCCTTGGCAATATTTACTTATGGGAAATAA